CCAGTGCAAACACTGAATGGTTTCGACTTAACGCCATTAACTCTGACACAGCACCTGCTATCAGAATACAGTGCTTAATGGCCCTTAGCAGCTGGCCATCAATCCCGTATACACGAACACATGTCCACAGACTGTTGCGTGGAATTTACTTATAGGCTTTTTTAGGTCAACAAAGCAGATGTACACTGGACGGCCGTACTCCCACGACTTCTCAACAGTCTGGCGTAGGGCAAATACATGGTCAGAGTTGCTTAGACCGGGCCGGAAGCCACATTGGTCTTCTTATATCTCTAAGTCAGTTATTTCACGGCACTCCTTTCTAGCACGTTTGTCTAAATTACCTGAAAGGCTCAATAACGTAATGCCACTATAATTGGAGCATTCCTTGTGGTCTCCCTTCTTGAATATGGCTACAATAATTTCCGTTCTCCTGTAGGAGTTCATCGAAGTATTTTCTCTATCGCCGAAGAATGTTCTTATCCTCGATAAGATGGTTTCCAGATCTGTCTTTCAAGACTCTTGGACTGCCCTACTTTTCACCTCTGAGCCTGCGGATGGTCTGACAGAACATTTTGTTTACCGTGTGGAAATTCGACTCCAACACCTCACCGAACTTCTCCCAGTAACCAACTTTGGCTTTTGGCAGTGCTTTCGCTGCCGCCTTGCATGCTTCGATACACACCCCATGGGAGTAGAAGACTCTTTGTTTCCTAATTGTTTCTTGAATGCAGCCTTCGTCTCTTTAACTGCCAGTTGTACCACTCGTGTCCACCAGGAATATCTTTCCTGACCTCCAGCCGGCAGGCCAACGCGTTTAAATCCCGGTATTCCGCGGTAGCCTCGAGTATGCCGCTCTTAGAGAGGTTCAACTCGGTTTCTTCATAAGTGGACATCACCGAGACTTGTTCAAACCATCGTGCAATGTTGTTTGCAAATTTGGCTCTCGTGTCCACCGGATATAATTTTTCCCATTTGTTTCTCTGGTTGCTTCTGCCACCAGATGTTTGCATGGTTCTCCATCTCTGACGGCATAGCGTGCTCAACAAAAAGTGGTGATCAGTTGACAGCTGTGCGTTTCTCTTTACTCAAACATCTATTATTGACAATTATCGTAAGTCAGACGATATGATTATCAAATCGATCATCGACCTTTTTGCACGCTTCGATGCTCGAAGTAGTTTTTCATAAATAGAGAGTTCATTGTTTGCACAAAATTGCGGCAACTTTATGGCGTTATTGTTGAAGTTGCTAAGGTCGTTGTTTCCCATCACGCCGTTCCACTTTTCAGCGTAAACTCTGACATGCTCATTGAAATCGCTCCTGAGTATTAGGGTCTCCGTATTCGGCACCTCGTACAGAACTTACTGCACTCTCTCAAGGAAGGAGTCATATTCTCACTTTATACTGGGCGCATAGACTTGTAGCAAGGTCGAAGCTTTAGGCTGTTGTATCTTCAGTCGGAGGATTGCCATCCTTCCGTTGACGCGCTTCCAATCAAAGATTTTATCTGCGAGGTTGAGCTGTACAAGAACACCAACACCGGCCTGCACTCCTCGTGATAGCGACACCCGAGTAGAACAGCTTGCGCCTGCAGAGGTTCAGAACTCCAGAGCGCTTGAGCTTCGTTGACGAGAGTTCAACCATGTCGAGTTGATACCTTACGGCCTCATCAACTAGCACCTGCTATTTCTCGTTGGTGCCTATAAGCACCCACTGTTTAGGGTCGTTCAGGTAGGGCCCTTTCTAAAACTGCAATAATGGCATCGCGCTGTCTGCCTCCTCCGTTCAGAACTGGTAGCGACTCCGTTGCTGACTGGTAACTTCGTCGTGGTTCTGTCGATCTTTGTCAGCCGTTGTTGTGCTACTATGACCCCGGCTGGCAGAGGGCGATGAGCAGGTTCTGATCGCCGACTTTTCGCAGCCTGCCTCAGTCCTCCAACAGCCTGCGCGGCCCTTGGTAAGCGGGCGACGATGGAGCCGGTATAATTTCCGATGACGTCCATGAAGGGCCGGTGGCTAAGTTTTACCGTGACTTCCCCCGGTTTTCCACCCTCCTCCTTTCTTAACCGGGCTCCGGACCGGCAACCATGAAGTTTCGGGTTTGTTACTTGATCCGTTTTTCTACGTTACCCTGGCTAACACTGAGCGCGTTAAAGAGATATAAACAACGAGTGACAGGTGCCAGCCTTGCACTAACAGCAGTGCTCTAAACATACAGAAGATGATCGGGACATTTAAACTGCTCTTTCTTGATGAAAGAAATACTGAGGAATATTGGATGACTCCCCAAAATTCAGATTTTATGCATTGTCGTGTTGCAATTGTCTGAAGGAACATTTAAGTAAGCCACACTCAATAGTATTTAAGCACCTGCAGTGCTAAAGGCATCTCGTATCATTTTGTTTATCAGAGTCAGAGTCTCGCTCTTACCTCGAACGATATTTCAGGATCTAAAACTGATTATATGCTGCCACATGAACATGAAAGTAGATTCGTATCCCGGAGGATGTCTGAAAACTCAAGTTTTGTCCAAGACCAGATCTGATGGCATGTAGCACCGTTCCTTTACGCAGAAAGAAGTGTTGAGATCAGTTTCTGTCAAGTTGCTGTACAGCCAAATTTTATGAAGGTCACAGCAATCCTTCAACATTTTAATTCTGGATGTTTAGATGCTGTTTTCAGCACCTCAAATATTTATGACTTCTGCCTGTGAACAAGACCATCTATCCTTATTTAGGAGCAGTAATGATTGTTCAAACGGTAGAGGCAGATCTGCTTTCAGAGAGAAATTTTTCCTCCTGCAATTCAGCAAATGGTGCCTTATGGTAAGAGCGTTAAAAAAACTGCTAACACACAGTTCATATATACGCGAATAGCAAACCAGGAACGTTCTACTTATGCAAATGGCTCAAGTTAATGATTTCAACAAGCACACACGTCTTCACTACTTGATCAGAAGACCTTCTCTTTTGGAACTTTCATGCTGAGGTATTCATGATTCTCTTAGAAGAAACTGCCTTCAAAACAAATAGTGGCTTAAACCGACGATTAGAAATGACTCGTTAGCCGTGTCAGAATTGGTGAATGGTCTTCACGACTATTAAATAGTTTTCCACTGTACTTCGCTCCAGTTGCGACTTATTATTTTAGCCGTTGCTTGCGCCGTGGCAGGATTTTTAGGCAGCTTGATTTGGGATATGGTGCTAAAATTACACTGCAATGAATTAAGAGCAAACGAGTTACGCGACTGTCTGCAGCGCCAAGAAATTTTCATTTATTTATGTTTGACGTAAACGTCGAACCACTTATTCACACTTTTCCGACTGAATAGCGATGGTGATTCACAACGCTTCGATTAGAGCTTGTAGTATAAATATCCAGGTCAAGGCAGCAGGTGGACGGCGTTTCACCATCAGCACTAGACTTTGACATCGGTGCATTTGTCGCTGCTGTCAACAGAGTAGCGATGTGCAGCATTGGAAATGAATTTAGAGGAAGTTCTGAGGTGAGAGAGTTGCTGCTTGCCAGTGACCTTGTCTCATTGCCATATGAATTCAGGCTAATTTCTAGAGTTCAGTCGAGGAGTTCACAGAGGAGTGATGAGGAGTCATGTGCTGTCATGTGAATGCGCATATGCAAAACCGAATCGTCACAGTTTCATGTATTGTGAAGGTAGTAAAATATTCATAAAGAGATGGAGAAATCAGGTAAACGGGCATTGTGATCATGCTTAAAAGTGAGGGAAGATGGGAAACAAAGATCAGGTGATGAGTAGGGTTAGCTATCCAAGTCCGTCGTCAGCCACTCTAAGCCATCGTTAGCACTACCGAACTAAATATGCAAACTAAACTCTGTGTTCAAGTCGATTTCGAAGCCTAGCGAAGGTATGACCACGAGATATTGATCATGACCATAAAGCTCGACCGCGGTACAAGATCTCGCAATAGACTTTCTGAGGAAAATCGCAGGGTTAACGCTTCTCGACAAAGTTCGTAAGTCAACAGTCCTAGAAGCCGTCAGAAGAGAGTGGTGTGGTGGAATAGTGCCTAAAAGGTTAGCTTCGAACTCCGGAGGAGCCTAGTTTCATTCCAGGATAAAGCGATTTTTGTCTTAGCCACGAATTCTCTTGAGCAAGGCTTTTGCCATACGTTGCTCCGGACCGACATGTTCAGTCGGTGTAGCGTGAGATTCAGAATTGAGACGCCTGGGGTTCTAAATCCGGTCGTGAAAAACGCCTTTTTTAAATGAGTAGCACTCTGTGGGAAGGAAATAGGACACTTTGCATTATGCTTGTCACATAGTTTCCGGCTACCGTGGCCATAAATTAGGCACTCTGTGGCTGATGACGTGGAGATGAAGATCTGCATCCCACCATTGACTTTTTGGAAAGAAGAGCAACACATTAACTGCATCACGAAAGTGCAGGAAATAACTTCATTCCACGGTCACAAACTGACTGCTGACTGTTTTTTCTCTGCAGATGGGAGCCGCTACCATGCAGCACTGAATGCGCTGAGACTGTCACTAAAGGGGTGACCAAGTAAATACTTCTTGCTCGAGTGACATGCAGAGGACTCAGAGGAATGCCCAGAATGACTTTAAGCAATTGCGCCATTAAATTTTTTCCCAAGCTTGAAATGTCTGCTATGGATGCTCAGGCGTTGGTGCGAAAACCTGAAAGCTGGTGACATTATCTAGCGTTATCGAACTCACGATCAGAAGAGATAGGAGACATCCAAAACCAAGTGAATGATTTTTCAAACCAAATTAGCCATAAAGACATGAGGAAGTGCGTCATTTGGCATCGTCCTTACGTCAATGGCCAAT